CTTTGCTAGGAACTGGACAGGTTAAGCTTTCCTCAAAGCGTGAAATGACATGGCCACAGATCTTAAGCAAGGAGATGAGCCAGGGAACAACATCAATGCCCTCAGTCCTCAATCTTCTACATGGAGACAAGATACTGGACTACACGGGCCTCTGCTCTGATCCATAAGGCATTTTTTATGGTCCCTGCCCATTCATAACCTGTCCCTTCATGCTGCCATTTGGGGCAGGTGCAGAGGACCCTCCAATGGCACACAGGGAATGAAGAGACACCTCCCACCTGCCTGACTGCTCTGCCCACTGACTGCCATAGGCCCCCTGAGAGAGCTCTAAGTGTTGCAGAAGGTCCTTCAGCTGGCTCTGAAGTAGGTCACATTTTAGCCTAAGAGAACAGCTGATGGCTGAGGGACACAGTTTGGCTGCCTGTACTCTAGCACTGCCATGGGCTAGGTCAGATTTTTGCCTAGCTTTCACTACTTCACATTTCATGTTTTTAGCTTGGTTTGCATTTTGCAATTTTCTTGTATAATCAAAATCAAGTTTAAACCTATTTATATAGCCAGCTTGTTCAGTTTCAGCTTGGGTTGCATTTCATTACCCTTTAATTTTACTGGTGTAAATCAGGAAATGGATTTGCAGCCATTTTATGGTATGATCATGTCTAACTCTTCTATAGCACATGCTAGCCAGAGATCTCTAACTGCTTCTCAAAGGAAGGAAAGTCTCTTTTTCTTTTTAGTTATTTATTTATTTTTATATTGTGAGCAGTGAAGTGATTTGCTCAGGGTCACACACAACAAGTCGCGGGCAGAGCTCAAGTCTCCTGCCACTGCACCACACCGCCTCGTAGTCTGATGATGTAGGTGGAAGTAGAATTAGGCCACAGAACACTGAAAACATTTTTGAGACTCTGAGCCCTACAGTTGGAGCCCATCTTTGAATTTAATCTGATCTAGCTCCATTTCCCTTGTTTGTTTAAACTATGATCAGTACAGTGCATTGGATCCCAAAGCACCTTAGAGTTTGGGCCAGTGCCTCAGCTGAATAGCTGCTGTAAATGGGAGCTTCAGTGGAGTTATGCTACTTCATACCAGCTTATGATCTGGCCTAATGAATTGAGCCTCCCACTGCTCCTGGGAAGCAGGGAAGTCTTCTGCTGCCCATCTCCGCAATTCTCACTACCTGTTTGTGTTTTGGGATGGCTTGATGTGTCTGAGCTGCAGGCTGTGGCCTCATTCGACCTGGCTAGCTGAGTGGAAGACGGAGGCAGGCTGGCAGGTGCTGGTCAGATTCCATAAGGTATTTTACTCCAGATGGATGCATCTGCACACAGTGAGTCAGGATTCAAGACTGTTAGCAGTACTGTGGGGAGCCCAGGGCAAGACAAAGTGCTCTAGCAGCTTGACTGGCTTGTTTGACTTTCTCCCAACTCTCTAGCTACAATCAAGCCCAAGTTTGCTGCACATTACAACTTGCTGAGAGAGGCATTAACAGGAATTTGTAATGGCCTTTACTCCCTCCTGCTTTGGAAATGATTTGCACAATAGTTCCTCTCTATGTTTGGGTAACAATCCATGTCCTGTTTCTTAAATAACATTAGACACATCATTCAAGATCCTTTTGCTGCTTTGCTCCTTGCCTGTGGAAGGCATGGTCAGTGAACGTGGGAATGCCAACCGTTGTGCCTCTCCAACTAGCATGTACAAAGTCGTTTCATTCAGCTTTTTGAAGTGATTATTTTGGGACTATTATGTGGCCATAGCTGCTGATTTTACACTCGGTGGGTGGGAAAGCGCCCTGACAAGGCGGCATGAAGGGCATAATGGAACGTGTGCTTGAGCTGCTGCCCTATTTCACTACATGGGAGAGCAGGGTTTTACTTATATATAGTGAACACCAACGCTACATACTTAACCCAGAGCATCAAAATACACACTTCAGATATTTTTAGGTACGTACTCTGAGCCACTGTTCAGTGTTTGAATCTGACTTATGGCAACAGCGGATAGTCCATTAATTGCACAGGCCATTAGCGAACATACGAGACCTGGCTCCCCCAGAACGGTGTAGGTGGGGCTGATTAGATAGACCTGAAGCACAGAAATGAACATTTCCTACATCCCTGCTGATTACTGATCTGCGTGGCTGTGTGACTGCAGGAGAAGCCCATTCAAAAATAACAGCAAAATTGCTCCTCACTTCCCCACTGAGTCAGGTCACCCGCAGAGCACTTTGGGGTTTATATATAATTCCTATACAGCTCCACTGCCAGGCAACAAACACTGGGGCAGATGGACAGACAGAACTGACACTTCTGTTTTTTTAAATACACAGGCTTAAATGGGGCAAGGCACTTCACTTTTCTGTGCTTTTGGTTCCTCTCCTAGCTTTTGTCTGCCTTATCTGTTCAAGTGTAAACTCAGGCCAGGGACTGTCCCTTACCATGTATTTGTATAGCACCTAGCTCAGTGGGACTGATCTCAATTGGGGGCCTCTTGTCACTACTGTAATACAAATCACAGCTGGGATATGGACTAACACCACAGTCAGCTAACGCCTAGAAAAATAAAAAGCCGCTTTAAAAATATCCCCCAGTACATTGCACGGACAGGTACAAATGAACAGGATTACAAAGTATTCACATAGTATAGAAAGTGTTAACATCCTCATCTGCAATGACACTCATAAAGAACAGAATCTGGACTTGGCTTAGAGCCAGACATACAAAATGAAGACATCAACACCACTGGTAAATCTAGTACAGGTATGTTATTTCCACAACCCTTTTCATCTGGGAAGGTCACGGGTTTGCACTGTGCACAGCTGTCTAGCGTAATAAATGAAATCATAATTCTTTAAAAAGGGGTTGTAGTAGCATTACAAGCAGGAAAGGCAGTTGTTAGCATGGGGGAAACAAAGCCCAAGTGTCTTTGTTATTTACAGCTATTTCAGTTGTATCCTCCATAAAACATTCAGCCCCTTAAAGTTTATATACAGCTGGAACTGTCAGTAGCCAAATATCTATTATAGAGTTCAACTGCCCCCTAAAGGCCAAATATCAGAACTGCATTTACATTTCATACCCCTGACAAAATGAACACAAATGAAAATGAAATGATGGTGGATTGCGGTTCATGCCAGTAAGTAGCACTGAATCCAAAAGGAGAAGGTACACCGCTGAGAGGACCACTTGAGAACAACAGTTTCTCCTTTTATTAGTCTCTGCATATTAGCAAATGAAAACACATTGTATACCAACTCGCACGCTCTGAATCAAGGTCTGAGAGAACGCAGGAGAGCAGCAGGTCAAGAAAAGATCAGGAAATGATTGTATCAGATTGCAAATGGTATAGAATCTAGATGTCCCCACCCTACAACTCTCTTACTTTAGCCTTAGAGGCCAAAACACTAGGACACCCAAAGCAAACCAACGCTAGCACTTTTCACCACTGGTTTCTATCACGATTAGCCATTTTATAACCTCTCCTATGAAAACTGGGCGTTTTGGCAGACCTGGATGATGGCTAAGGGTGGAAAACGAGTATGTATTGTACAGAAACTCTAGTTAAGGCATTAGCATTTAACAGTCTGATCATGAGGAATTTTGACACAACTACTGATAGCCACTAACTCTGCTGTACATGGCTCAGAACATATCAGGTAGTTATTTATGCTTAGAAATAAACAAGCCAAGAGATGTCATTATTTGTGCTGTATTCTCTGTTTCACTTGGAAATCCCCATGACAGTGAGGGGCTATAAATAAGCTTTGTTACAGTGGCCAAAGTTGTTACCTCAGTTTGTGAAACAAGCCAAGTAAATGCCTATGATTGTATTCTGTGGTTTGTACCAGATAGGGATGTGTTTTTGCTAGGCCAGAACCAGCTATTTACCCTGGGCCTTATGGTCCCCTGTCCTGCATGCTTCAGAGGGGAATCCGGGAGCAGTGACTGCACTCAGATGGAGTTGAAAATCCTAGGAGTAGATTCCACGTGGGGAGCCCTTTGACATGAAAATCATGCTAAGTGGGCCCTGCAGGAATCCAAGGGGGTATGTAAGACCTGGAGTAAGTGCTGAAATAGAGCGGATGCTCTGTGCAGCTTGCTCCCATAAGAAAGTATGGGCTACAGCTATGCTACTGTTGCTGGTATGATTTTCTACTGGCAGCAGAGTCACAATTTACAGGGTTCTCTGCACAGTGTGGTTTTCGGTGGTATGGCAGCTCTAGAAGCTGAGGGGCGATACCTGCTGCTCTTGAGGCTGACACAGCATATGACTTTACTAGACCAGAGGGGACGGTTTATGGATTTTATAGGCCTCCTGGTTAGGAATGAAATTAAACCACACTCGGTCCCTGAATTCCTGCTTCCACTACACACACCTGCCAGGTAGGGGTGGATAATAACTAATAGGAGCCTGGATCCACAAAAATAGCAGACCCCTCCCTCTACTAGTATGTGCTTCCCTATTACCCATTAGATAGGGTAAGTGCAGACTTATTTATACTGAAACAAAAATGAGAGAGTGGCCTATCCTGATGGGTGGAGCAAACTGCTTCCTCCACAAAGTACCTTCCTTCACACACAGCTGTGAGGCTTCTGCCCTTCCTACGGCTATGGTCTGATGGTAAGACCCATCCTGAACCCTAATGACTGCAGCTCAGGTAAGTCTGTCTAGCCCATCCCCTTGCCAATGGAATCATGGGGATACACTGCGTCTCCAATATCCTGCTGGGCTGTGTGTTTGCCAAGGCCCCTAAGGGGATGCCAGGCCATGCACTCTGCTGCCTCTTGGACCTGGTGAGGTGAGGTAGCTTGTTGTGTTGGGAGGTACTATGCATTTCCTTATACTTAATAAAATGAATGGGAGAAATTCTGGCCTCACTGAAGTCAATGAGAGATTTGCCACTGACTAGACAGTGGTTTATAAATGTTACAGGATTTTTAAAAAAATCTCACGTCAGCATTTCTTTCATTAAAAAAACAAAACAAAAAAAAACCTTCTCCCAGTAACACCATTTATTCTACAGCTTTGTATTAAAATACATGTGTAGGGTCAGTTACATTTAGACAGATTCCAGTTATACTCCCAAGGTGTCCACTGTCTATTTTTATAATATTCCTAGAAGGGATTCCCTACAAACCCCAATTCTGACGTCTGGTTTAGAAAATAGTACAAAGCCTTTTTCAGAGGCCCCATAATCCAGTCATGCCAGGAAAGGGTCATTTTCATTTCCCACATAGTACTGTAGCAAATCATACATACATCATGTTACAAGAGAATTAACATTACCCTGAACACAAATCATACATACATCATGTTACAAGAGAATTAACATTACCCTGAACGCAAACTTCTAATTGTTTCCACATTTTTTTTTAAAAATTGGCCAAATCATGAAATCTATATTGAGTGTGTGCACGTGCCTCCTTTCTGAGAGTATAACATTCCAAATATATTTTCTGAACTGCGTACTCAACCAGCTCTCCCTTCTCTAGCTTCCATTTGCTTTTGCTGCACTAGTTCTTCCTCCTTCTTCTTGTAAAGCTTCACTAGATATTCGTCAGGCTCAATTCCCATCTCCCTTAACTCTGACATGACCTTTTCCAGCCTGTGCAGTGTTCTGGCCCTGTGAACTTTCCGGGTGGTGATGTACAACGTAAACTCATCAAACCCCATCAGTTTACAGGTGTCTACATCACAGATATTTTTAACATCTTTGGTTTTGTCCACTTGTGGGAAGAAAACCAATCCAGACATTTTCTCCAGGTCTTCAATATGCACTTGAAATTCAGGTAGCTGATGACTGAAGCCGATGGGATCGTTGGGCACCACAAAGGCCCCCAGCACCAGGGGCTCTGAGGACATTCTGCTTCGCCTGGCGAGAATCACCTTGTAGAGATGTGATGGCACAGCCACATCGCCCTTGCCGATTACCTAGCAACAAAACAGTTACATTAGAGATACACATCTGAACCGGAAATCGGGCCTAATCCTACTACATCTGGAAACGAGCTATTATCAGCACATAATGCATAACTAAGCATCAAGGAGATCATGAAAGCTATACTGGACTACAGTATGCTCCCTCTGTATCAATTGCTTTGTAACTCTCAACACAGCCCCTATCCTCATTGGTGAGCAGAGACACAGAAACATGGCAGAGAACACCCTGGAGGAAGCTACACGGACGTTTGGTTGGTTGAAGATTTTTTCCAGAACATTGTATTGGTCCCTCTCATCCGAACATCCTAATGCAACCCCAGTACAACTGATTTTCCATTAAACTTAAAAACAAAGAGGATTCTAACTTGCTGTAGGAATGCAGAGGCAACAAACATGTACAGAAGCAGATGATCTGTATTCCCAACTGTGCAGATTATTTCCTTTTTACCATCAGCCATGCTGAGTGGATTATTTTTAAAGTGAGGATCTCATATATTGTATATGAAACATCAAAAATCTAGGATACAGCATTAGTAAGTACCCCATTTATACAACAATACAGTTCAATTAATGTAACACAAGCCAGCAAAGCAAAAGGAGAAAGGATCAAATCAGGACTTAGATTTCCACTCCCCAGAACTATCTGGTATGCCTGGTCTAGTTTCTTTGCTTTCGTGCAGCACTGCTGCTGATCTCGGTCATGCCCCTTTGCCAACATTCTCCATATGATCTGCTCATAGATGTCGATGTTTCTACAGCTGTTCCTTAGGTGTGCTTGCACAACCTCTTCTCCCCATAGGCCAGAGGTGGGCAAACTACGGCCCACAGGCCACATCCGGCCCACGGGACCATCCTGCCTGGCCCTTGAGCTCCTGGCTGGGGAGACTAACCCCCAGCCCCTCCCCTGCTGTCCCCCCTCCCCAGCAACCTCAGCTCCCCGTGCCGCCAGTGCTCTGGGCAGCAGGGCTGCAAACTCCTGCTGGGCAGTGCAGTGGCGTGGCTGGCTCCGGCCAGGCTCTGAGCGGCATGGTAAGGGGGTAGGGAGCAGGGGGGTTGGATAATGGGCAGGGAGTCCTGGGGGGCAGTCTGGACAGGGAGCGGTTGGATAGGCGTGGGAGCCCCGGGGGGCCTGTCAGGGGGTGGGGGTGCAGATAGAAGTCAGGGGACAGGGAGCAGGGGGTGTTGGATGGGAGGGTTAGATAGGGGGTGGGGTCCCGGGAGGGGGCGGTCGGGGGACAAGGAGCAGGGGGGGTTGGATGGGTTGGGGTTCTGAGGGGGGCAGTCAGGAGGCAGGAAGTGGGAGGGGGCGGATGGGAGCAGGGGCCAGGCTGTTTGGGGAGGCAAAGCCTTCCCTACTCAGCCCTCCATACAGTTTGGGAACCCGATGTGGCTCTCAGGCCAAAAAGTTTGCCCACCCCTGCCATAGGCCCAGGCGATCCAATACTTTTTGCCTGCTCCAGGCAGAAGTGTGTCTAGTAGCTCTCTGTTCATACAGCTCACTAAGGTGAGCAATCAGGAAAACGCATTTCAAAAAACACGTGGGGAGTTTTAAAGAGCGCCGGGGTGAGCTTCTGCTGTCTGTGACCTCAGGGCTCTGAATTCATTTGAAGCCTGTAACATGCTCACACACATCCATACACAGAGGGCTACCCTTATAGCTGAGAGCCCTTCCTGTGCCACACATCCATCTGGCAGAAGACACAGTCAATGAGGGACTGAATGTTCCCATTGCCAGGGAAATGAACTATTCAAATAAATTATGTTCAGGAGGGCATTTTACTAGGACCCTTTTTATTTGCTATGATGTTTATCTGGCATGTGGACAGAACACACAGCCAGTCAAGAAAGTACAGTGAGGCTTATGTCTAGAAGATTTGAGTTCTGTTTAACCCTTTTGATATCATTATATTTTAAAAACACAATTAAAATGGCAAACAAGAAAATGAGGTAGATTATTTACCATGAACTATGAAGATGTCTGTGGGTAAGCACAAAATCCAGAAGTGAAACACTGTATTCTTGGTTTATAATATATGCAAAGACAAAGACACTGGCAGTACATTTTCATTTCTTTACATCTTTGTGGCATGGCTGCTTTCTTTGGAGTCATATTTTATCTGTCTATTTCACTGCTGTGACTGATCCAATTAATTACAAGCATTTTTAAGTCGAGGTAATGGTTGAAATGTACTTTGGCTTGGCGAATATTCAGTATAATTCAGTTATAGAATAATCATCATCTCAATGTATTTTAATGGGATAGTATTGAGCACTTTTGCACAAGATAATGCATTTTTAAAACCCAACCTTGCCAATGGCTACTGAAGTATTCAGAGTTCAGTTCAGTCTGTTCCAATATTTAACTCATTTAGGTTTCTGCTAGCACTGTGGTGGATTTCTTTAGTGTTTGAAATAATTCTTCACATCCTGTTGCAATAATTAATACCCTTAAAGCCCAATGAGTTAGAAAGAAACCACCCTGCCCTTAGGAGAAAGGAAATGGAAATCATAACTACAGCGTTTTCATTTTTGGTGCAGTTACTTGGCAACAACTTCACTGCTGCTCTCTCCGTATCTCTCCATACAGATCGTGATCTCAATTTTCTTTAGTTTACATTATCAACATTGTCATAACAGTAAGCATTCCTCTCCTCTTTAGACCGTTTCCTAATGGTAACAACTTATCAGCAGACTACAAGTAATCTCCCCTTTGCCCCCAACCCTTTCCCAAATAAAACTCGCCCTATGCATATAAGTCACGAAGACAGCGCCAGGAAAAGCAATCCCCAAAATACCTTACACTAAATTCCCTTTCAATGAGGATAGATGTCTTGATCCTAGAGAGTCGGAGCTCTTAAGCTTCAAATCACTTTGCATTTAGCATTTAGAGTCCGTGAAGCCAGACTGACAGCTCCCAGGCATGAAGAGCTTAATCAAAAGTGATTGATGTGCAGGTAATTTTAAAATCTATATTAAAAATTACCACTACCCCCAAACCCAGTGCTTTATCTGATGGATTCAAATTGAATTGTAAAATGAACTGTGTTGCTCATTCTAGGCGAAATTCAATCCTCTGCAGAAAGTGACCAGCATGAGGCCTATGCACGGCTTTGTGGGTTCCAGGGAAACTGAAGTGGTGCACAGGCTTTGTGCTAGCCCTGTGCGTCGGGGTGAATTTCACCCACCGTGAATAAAACACTGTTCCAATGATTTTTTTCCCATGACAAGTTTCAGCACAGTCCAAAACAATCCTCTTACGCTATCCAGAACAGGTGTAAAGCTTCTATCCCAGCCCCTTCCAGCAGTTTGTAAACACCCTTTTTTAGGGAGAGTTGGGCGGAGGGGATATGCAAATATGTTTCTTTATGAGAAAAGTCTTCTGGAGTATAAAGCCTATACTGACCATACACTCTTGTATTGCAGGTCCTATTGGCAGCAAAAGTGACCCAACAGTCAATGTTACAATGACAGAGGGTGCCGTAATGGCACTGTTAATACACTGGGGTTTAATTCAATACACACACAATACATGACTTTGCATGATGGCCGATACTAGTGGTATTTGCTCGTAAAATGCTGCGCACGTATATTGCATTGTATAATACAAATGATCTGTTGAAAAACGTAGCAACAAGAAGACTCTTACCTACCTCCATCATTACCACGTTCGGCACAAGTACCTGCCCTGTCATACACACCTATTACTTGCCTTTATATGAAAGAGGCTGTAAAAGAATACGATGTATGGTTCTATAGGTTGCCCAATACACATACGCACAGCTGAATAGTCAGCAAGTGGGGTAAAGTATGGTTCTGCAGAGAGAGCCAAGTTTGAACGGGAATAATAGAAAAGTACATGATCAGTTCATTTTCTAGTGCCACCTTGCGGAGTGTCTTGTGTAACTGCAGCAACAGTCAGACTCACAGGGCATGTCTACACTACAAAGTTAAGTCGACTTAATGTAAGTCGACATCGAGCCTCCACATTAAGTCAATCATGTGTGTCCACACCACGCTCACTGTCTCAGTGGAGTACGTCCTCACTAGCAGCACTTGCATTGATGCACAGAGCAGTGCACTGTGGGTAGCAATCCCATGGTGCAAATAGCCACACGGGGTTTTGGGAAGGGCTTGCAAAGCCTCATGGAACCAAAACACTGTTGTGGGGGAGAGGGGGGAATGACAACATGGCTTTGGTCTCCCATGATGCACTTTCCTCCCTCCCCTGATATCAATGGCAAACAACCCATGTTTTTTTCGCACCTTTTTTCAAAGGTTTTAGCAGCGCATACGCAATAGCCTGAGAAGCCCGGACCCTGCTCAGCTGTGCGTTCTTACTGTGAGCATTATAAACACCTTGCACCTTATCCTCAGTATTTCCAGAGCCAAGACAGGAGCCGCAGTGCGGAACATTGCAATGTCACGCACGCAGCCCTGCTGCAAGCCATAGAACAAAACAATTCCCGCGGGCTGCTGGCAGGCGCGCATCAACTGAACACAGTGAAGCGCCGTTTCCGGTCCCAGAAAACAAGCAGTGACTGGTGGGACCGCATCGTTATCCATCTATGGGATGATGAGCAGTGGCTGCAGAACGTTCGAATGTGGAAGGCCACCTTCCAGGAACTTTGTGCAGAGCTTTCCGCAGCCCGGAAGTGCAGCAACACTAAAATGAGAGCTGCTCTGACAGTGAAGAAGCGAGCGGCGATCGCTCTATGGAAGCTTGCAATGCCAGATTGTTACTGGTCTGTGGTGAATCAATTCAGACTTGGTAAATCCACCGTGGGAGCTGCTGTGATCCAAGTGTACAGGGCCATTAATCAACTTCTGCTAAGAAGGGTAGTGACTCTGGGCAATGTGCAGGACACAGTTGATGGTATTGCGGTGTTGGGGTTTCCTAATTGCAGTGGGGCAATAGATGGCACATATATACCTATCTTGGCACCAGATCACCTTGTCAAAGGGTATGTCTACACTACGGGATTAATTCGAAT